GCCAGGGCACATCTGTGAGCAACCGATTGTAGATTCGATACCTGTATCTAGCCAGGGCATATCTGCATAAGGAGACTGAAGATCAAACACCTGTAACAAGCCAGGAAAACATCTGTCTTTCTTAAATACACAAGTTCTCGCTAAGGAACCTCTTATGCGATCAACACTTCCAAATGGCATCTATAAGCCCATTCCCGACAAAGTTCTGTCACTTTTCCAGATGGCATTTACAAAGCCCATCTCCCTATCCACCATCTCTCCAAATGGCATCTATAAGCCCATTCCCGACACCACATTGTTGAGACTCCAGCATGCGAGTGCAAATTTCCGGGCACTCTAGTGTCCAATCTCCTTTTACCCTCGAGTCACGAAAGGCAAACTTGCCAATCTAACTCTTCAGGTCCAAGAAGATTGAACAGGGGCAACTGTTGTACCCCAAAATTTTCCCTCCCATTTCCTCAACATTTTCTCATCACAAGACATTTAAGGATCAAGATACAATTAGGGTTTCCTCTGCTCAAGACTTCTCCTTGCACTGTGGACTCAAATTAGGGTTTGTGCTTGCACAAAGATGTTTTGACCTAAAATGCTTAAGATGACTTTCATGCTTCATGTTGGACTCCCAAGTTTACCTATACCAAGTTTCAAGTCTTGATTCCAAGTTTTACCCAGTCAATTGGACAGTTGACCTAGAAATCAGCTGTATTGGGGAAAAAGTCAACTGTGGCCAATTGACAGTCAAACCTCATGAAATTTGATCCACATCAACATTATGAACTCACATGGACCATTTGATCAAGTTTGAATCACAATTCCCCAAGAAATTTGATCAGATCACCAAAAGGGCAAAATGGTCATTTTTAGGGTTTTGACTGCACAAAGGCAATTTTTGACTGTTTGACCTAGCCAATGGCAAACCAAGCTCACATATGGACTCAAGGACCCCATGGAATTATCTTGACATGTTCATCAAGCTCAAAAGATCCCCAGTACACAAGATTGACAGTTGAATTTCCCAGTCAATTGATCAATTTTGACTGTATACTGAAAAGTCAAACTTTGACTTTTTGGTCAAAATCAAGAGTCAAGATTCATTTTTCATCAAAACATGCCAAATCATGAAACTTGTTCACCAAGAAATCTCAAAATGCAAATTAGGGAAAAAATGGAATTTTTCATAACTTAGAATTTTTCTAAGTTATGAAAAACCCTAATTTTTTCCCAACTTTGCCCCATCTTTTCACCATGATCCATTTGGATTCAAACAAAAGTCAAAACATGAAAGTTGTAGCTTGTTGCATAATCTACAACTTTGATTCACAAAGTTTTCTCATTTGAAGCTTGTATCTCAAGTTATGATTTTTTGAATAAGGGCACTAAACCATCTTTTAACTTAGTGAAATTTGACCTATTTTGACAAGGTTTTCTACCCTACTTCAAGGCCACTTTTCATACCCTTCCACTTGGAATTTCAAATTGCATTTCAAAGATGGATTGTAGTACACATTCCAAGCTTTCCAAAATGTCCAAGAACTCATCAAACAACCTCATAACTTGAGAGATTCGAATTTCACAAGTTGGCAAAAATTCACTTTTGGTTCTTCATCAAAGCATGTTCATAAACTTGGCAAATTTGAATTCAGCATGCTTAAGCTACATTGCAGGCCTCTAATCCCATTTTCACTCAATAATTCAATGCATATCCTTTGTGCTCTAGCATTATCTTGCTCATTTGGACAATACACACAAAATCAAGCCTAAACTAGAAAAAGCATATTATCCATTCTTGTAAAGTGCTACTTTATGGCAACTTTGCAAATCTATGAGGTACAATGCAGATCTTTGAGGCAAAAAGGAATGGACATTTCCCACTGATCAAGACTCAAATGTGCAGCATAGATTGAGGCATTGTACTGGCCTAGAAACCAAGTTGACATTTGCTTGCTTCACTTAGAAGTAACATCCATAACTTATGCCATCTCTCATACCGGCATACAAAGACAAGAACAAAGTGGTCAAACACATTACACATAACATATCCAAGCTAACACACGAGCTCTTGACCTCCAAAACACCCTCCATCTCAGAATCATCCTCAAACTGCACAAACAGGGGTGCCCCTGCAGTTTGAGTGCAATCTCTCAATCCCTTCAAGCATTTCTGTCCAAACCTGTTCCTCTACCTTCCTTACAACATATGCAAGCTATCCAGAAGCTAAGGCACGATCTGTAGTTGCTCTAACCACTTCCACCATTTTCACATCTTTGACTTGCAGGTGAAGTTCTATAGCTTGATACAAGAAGGTTCAAGACAAAGTGAGCATTGAAAAAGCATCCCTGGACCTCAAGGAAGCTTTTCCAATCATTACATTGCACTGAAAGTCTCTCATTCTCCACATAGAAGTTCAACTGCACAGGTAAAAGTTTGAATTCGTATCTCTCTTATTAGGCATCTTTAGTCTTAAGTTTGTGAAGAAACAAAGTCCTACTCATAGCCCTGAACATGTACATAGCTTTACTTTTCATTTCTTTTATCTGAGTGAAGAGAATTTGAGCTCTGAAAATGGTAGAAAAACTAGGTCAGGAAAGAGGGGGAGAGAAATTCTCCTTCATCTTAGAGAGATAGGACATGTTCTTTATATGGTTGAAACCGTCTCTTAATGCTCTACATTTTTCATGTTATGAGTTTTTGCTAAAAAGCCAGGAATCCAGAGATAAAAAACGCGTGTTTTAGCTTGAAGGAGGCTGTACAGAGGTTGAAGAAGGAGTGGTCTGGGCTGGGCCTGGATTTGTTTTCTTTTTGCACCCCATTTTCATGTTTACACCCCCCTGAGCCCATTTGCTCATTTTTTAACATTTTTGACTTTTTCTTTTTTGGCTGACTTTGTTTATTTTTTCTCATGTCATTTAAAAATTAAAAATATTTTTTTCATTATTTTTTGTATTTATTGCATATTTATTTGTTTATTTGTTTAGTTTGTACATAAATATATATATTTAACTATTAGAATAAATGAAAAATAATGTAAATACACTTTTTTATTTTTATTTACTTTATGAAAATATTTTACACAAAAAAAATACTCTTTTATTTTATTTTATTAAAATATTAAATAAACATTTATTTCTAGAATAATACATATTTAGGGTTTAATATAAATATATATATATATGATTATTAATATATTTAAGACAAAAATATAAAAATACTTGTTTTTTTCATTTTATTTAATATTTGATACAAAAAATACCTTTTTCACAATACACTTCATTTTATTTTATTTTTTTACAAATAATAAATAAATAGTAGAATTAAATTAGATAATAATACCTTTTATTTAAAAATTAGGGTTTTTCACCCTAGGTTCAAAATACTAAAAAATAAATACATTTTTATTTTCTTTTTCCTTTTACATAAATAATATTTTCTCATACACATAGAAACTTTCTTTTTACATTTCACATATTTATTTAATTTACATTTAATTATGCATTGCAAAATATCCAATTGTTGTAATAATTTAGATTTAAATTCTTGTCAATATCCCCATTTGAACATTTGTACCCCCCTTCCCATATTTGGTTGTGTAATAGCTTAGTAATTTTAATTTCGCATTTTTATTGCTTTCTAATGATAACATGTTAGAATTAGGGTTTGTATGCGAAAAAACGACAAAAAATAGTTTGACCTAATGCAAGATAAACAAGCATGAAAATGAACACACAAATCACACTTGCACCCCCTAGGGTATTCCACTTGTTGCCTTCAAATAAATGGGCCATATTGTATGTTGAACATCTTTGGGCAAAGCAAACAGTTTGAATGATCATAGTCCCTCGATAAAACTTTTTTTCAAAAAAACAAACAAAACAAATGATCAAGTCCCTTAGAGAAATTGCCCAAAGACATTTAACGTCGTTACAATTATGGTCTAAACGATGACCCGCGCCTGTCCCTTTCACATCCTAATACAAGGTTGCCCACCAAATATAATGGTGGTGCAAACTTGTTAAAAGGGTTAAAGTATAGCAATAATCTTTTGAGAAATTTAGGAGTAGATAACCTCTTAGTTACTTGAATCAACTTGCAAAACAAAACACTTGCCTAATTTCAAAAACCACACATCATTACACTTTCAAAACAACTTTCAAAAACAAATGAAAACTTTTTCAAAAGATATACATCTTTGTATACATCCCCACATGGATCATTACAAAGGTTGCCACCACATTGGCCTCTTTTCAAAAACATTTTCAAAACCCACACACTCAAAGCACCATTTAAAACAATTGAAAACAAAAGGCAAGTGATCTAAGCAAGTAACTAAGAGCCCATGGATAACCATGGATAGAAAGGGTGCTAATACCTTCCCTTTCTATAATCTACTCCCCGAACCCAAGAAAACATCTCAAAAGGTTTTTGCTGTGCTTTTTAACCTTTCCTTAGGATAAAATAAAAAGTCGGTGGCGACTCTTGCTAACCGCAACATTTGCGAATACAAACGCAAACACTAGTCAGTTCTCCCACCGTATCACAACTTTCACAAACAAAAAAAAACATAAGAGAAATCAAATCAAGAAAGAGACTTTTAATGTCATGAATGTGAAGGTTTAAGTCATCACACCCCCTTTCTACAATTATAATTATTTAATAGTGTTGACTCAATATTTAAAAAAGAAAAAGAAAATATAATATGGAGTATATAAAAATTATTTAATTCATAAAAAAATAGTGACACGTTGTATAAAGAATAAATGAAGATTACTTTTAAAAAGAAAATAATTTATTTATTATTTTGACAATTATTTAACTTACATTTTTAAAGTAAAAGTTCTTTTTAATAAATAAAATTTTTACACATTTATTAACCTAATTCATTTAATAACAATAACACCATAACCTATTGGCTATAAATTTTCACTGCCTCATGCATTATAAACACACCATTGAAAACAATTTCAAATTTTATAACCAATCTTGAAAAATCAAATTTCTTAGAGATGAAACTTCAAAGCGTTGCGATCTTTGTTCTTTTTCTCTCTTTATTTGTGTCTGTCTTTTCTGACACTGCTAGAACTGGTGACTGGACTCCAATCAAGAACCTCAATGATCCATTTGTGCAGGAGATCGCTCAAATTTTGTTGAAAGAACACGAAAAACAATCTGATGAAAAACTGAGTCTGGTGGCAGTGGTTAGAGGCGAAAGTCAGGATGGGGCTGGAACCAATTATCGACTTGTGTTGGAGGCGAAAGATGAATCTGCTGCTACCAATATTTATGAAGCGATATTTTGGGATAAATCCTTTACTCATTTTAAGAACCTCGTTTCGTTTAAAAAAACTTACTTAATCTTGCTTTTTTATAATATTATATAATTATTATATATTGTGTTGTTTAATTTTCAATAATAATAATATAAGGTTTTTATTTTAGAAAGATTAAGCTTAATTATCTATTTGTATTCTGAGTTTCATATTTCTTTTATAATTCAATTGATCTTAATGTCAAAGTTCAATCTAAATTTTTTTCAACGCTCTTGTGTATTTAGGGTTGTGTTTGAAATTGAATCCAAAACTTCTCATTTAGAAAAAGAGAAGTTTATCATGTCATTTGATCGTACCTGATCAAAATGGACCGTCACAGCTAACTCGAGCTGAAGTTGAGAGTGAGGTGGGGGTACCTGCAAGACACTCTGATGCCAAAATAAGTTGCGGAATGAGCAAGAAAGCGTGAGAGTAAAAAGTGTTGAATACCTGGCCCTCTCGAAAGAGAGGGTATTTATAGCCTCCAGCGTTGGGCCAAAGTCTCTACATTGGGCTGGTCCAGTAGGCCCAACATAGAGACTGTCAGGTCCTACGTGAGTAGTGGGGACCCGCACGTGGTCCCCTACCTGGATGACATCCTTCGCAAGGTCGGGAGGATATGGAAGCGATCTTTTCGGGGTCACGAAGACTCTGTGATATTCGGAGACGTTGGTAGTCATCCCTACAAAGAGGATGCTCGGGAGGAGCATCTTCTCGTCGAGGGTGATCCTCGCCATACACGAGGTCGAGTAAGGGGACCAGCCTTTTTCGACGAGTCCTCGAAGCCTTCATGGTCGGATGTGACCGTCCTTAGTCTACTCGGGATGTTATCCCCATGTGGTGAGGTCGTCTCCTCGTGGGGAGAAGGTGGTAGTTGCCCATCGTATTCGAGGATAGAACTGGTCAGTGGTGCAGGTTGACACACCTGGATTGGGCCTTAGTGGGAGTTGGGCCAAGGGCAGGCCCAGTCCAGAACAGGAGCCCCCCAAGTCGTTTCTCTAGGTGAAGGAGTTGTGACTTAGTTTTAGTTCGTCCTTTTACGAGGTGCGCTGCTCGATATGGAGCTTTTATACCATAAAATGGGGACGTCGTCAGTTCAAGATTTCTCCCCAGATAGAGGTCGAAGTGGGTTTGAGGAGGACTCGCGGGGAGTAGAGGATGTGTATGTCAGACACGTGGTGTGGCTCTTGGGAATAGTAATAATGACCTAGGGAGTATGGGTCATCATTACCTATACATGTAGGTGTCGAGGAGAAAGGCGGCTTATGAGCTGCCTGACGCGAAGTTTCACATTCCACGTCAGCTCTATAAATAGGGATCTAGGGCTCATAATTTACTTTCATATTTTCGCACTCTCCACTTTCTCTGCTCACAACATCGTGCCGTTTTCTAGAATTCTTGAATCCGCCACACAGTTCGCCACATACTCTTCCTCAACCATCGTCGATCTTCATCTATTCTTAAAGTAAGTGTTCATTTTCCTTGATATCTTGTGTGTATATAGATTTTGATGATATTTAGTAGTAGGATTTGATAGATTTTGATGATGCTTAGTAGGATTTCGTATCTGGGGGGGCTCTGCCCGAGGAATTCATGCGTTTAGGCATATGATTTGTGATTATGCTCATAATATTCATCCTTTCGTCGGTACTTAGGTTAGTCTTCCCTGTGATCTCCATGTGTTTGGCTAATGAATTTATGAACTTGGTCGTGATATTCATAATCTGCTCGCAATATTCATCCTGTGTCCGGTGCATTTATGAAAAACAGGGGTTCTTCATTGGGATCGTCATGTGATCCTAGAGGTTTGGCATGATTTTCATGGGTCGGTCATGGTCCCCGTATTTCCCCTTTTGTACGGATGACCTTTGACTTGGTATAGGCATTTCTTAGCCTTTTCATCTGCGTTGTTGGAAAGGGGGATTTGGATTTGTTGTCAAATTCACCGGTTTCCTCTGCTTCGTAGGTAAATGGCCGACACTCCCGAATCGTCAGAGAATATGGAGACTGAAGGGACCAGCACCGCCGAGGAGAACATTAATTTGGTCGACGTAATCGATGACCCTGAATTGGATTGGGTCGGCACCGAGCCACGAGGGATAGCATCAATCTACAGTCACGGCCAAAGGCAAGCCTTCATAGTCGTTGAGTACGGAGCCGACCAGGAAGGATTTCGGAGAAACTTCAAAATCCTGAGACCAACGCCAGATGCACGCATATGCTCAGAGTACACCGAGGACGCCTTCCCCATGTATGAGGTCATGTTCAAAGACCTTGGGATTCGGCTTCCTTTTAACGACTTCCAGATGGGGGTGTTCAGTCATTTGAACTCGGCACCCTTCCAGCTTCATCCTAACGTGATCGCCTTTATCCGGGCATTCGAACTTACATGTCGATTCTTGAGGATCGGGGCGACCATTCCCCTATTCTACAGGGTTTTTCACTTGCAACAGCAGTCCTGAAGAGGGAAACATAGTTGGGTATCCCTTAAACAGTCGAAGAGCCTGTTTAGGATGTATATGGATTCTGTCTGGGACTTTAAGGACAAGTGGTATATCTTGCAACCATCTACCCAAACAGCCTTGGATTCTCTGTTCAACCTGGCTACCATTGTGGACGAGAATGAGGAGTCGTTCCTGGACGCCGAGGGTAATCCTGAGATTGGGAGAATCTCAAAGTTTCCCATCCACTGGTGTTCGGGCCACTACGATCACAGTCCCGAGCATTACCATACTTCTGTCGGTGGTATGAGTGTCGAAGACAAAGAGGCATATGGTGTCCTCAATCATTTAGTCGATGGATTCTTCCCCGCCAGATGGGTCACGCAGGAAGGGCATGACATCCTGGACGAAGACGGTGAGCCAGCGTTCGAGGCGCGTCTGATCAATACAAAGGTGCTCGTCGAGTGTCAATCTTATAGACAGATCATGGATCTCTTAGGTTTGTCTTGCCTGCTTTACTATATTGTATGCCTTCTTTTGTTTCTTCGACGAAGCTGACCCAGACACATTTTCTTTGTTTTTGCAGGTCACATGGCGGAGCGTCGTGAGAGATTGTTGAAGCTGGCCAAGGAAAAGAAGAGCAACAAGAGATTAGTGAAACCCCATCAAGCTACGCGCATGGGTGCAGCCCACGAGCCGGTCAGGGAGGGATCTAGTGGATTATCGGGTTCTCGTTACGCTGAGCGCCAATCCGAGTTGTTGAGCAGAAAGTGGAGTCATCCAAAAAATGTACATGCTGATGTCACTGACGGAGGGGCGGGTTCCTGGGCCTTCAGCCTACCACCATGCTTTATGGAAAAAGACTTCTTCGAGGGTTTCCCCTTGACCGTTTCTAATAACGAGTCCGACATCATCAGGCTGCTCGACAAGGAAGGTCGAAGGAAACACCTCGCTGCCAGCATGGTCGGGATGGTGAAGATGGTTGAGATGTTCGTTATTCTGGTGGGTGAAGGGCCGGACTCCTCTGATCGGGTCAAGAAATTGGAGTCGGAGAAGGAAACTATTATGGCGAAAACCCGTAAGCGGAAGACCGCTCTTGAGCGAAGCGAGGGAATGTTTCGCGAGCAGGCTGACATGCTGGCGGGGGAGAAAGAGAGAGTTGAGAAAGACATCGAGGACAAAGACTGCCTCCAGCTCGATAAGGAACGACTGGAGAGTGATAACCAGTGGCTGACGAAGGAGGTTGCAGATCGGAAGGCTACTATGATGCCCGCAGAGGATGAACCTGAGGGAGTAGCCAATTTGTGCACGCATGCCAACTTCATTGCTCAGATTCAACTCCTAGAGTCGGACTGCGTTGAAGCCTTCTCTGACGGCTTTGAATCTTCTATGAATTAGTTGTCCATGCTAAACCTGGGGTTAAACACTGAAGGTACTGGGGTTCTATCTCAGGTTGTTGTTAGTCGGGTGGTTCCTCCTCCTGACTCTTCTGACGTCGAAGTTAGCACTTCGGGGAGCGATTGACATTGTTCTCTTTTTTTTCTTCTTATTTGTATTTGGGCCTGCGTGCCCGTAATATTTGTAATATTTAGACATCTTTGACCTAAGTGGTCGCCTTTGATAATTATTTTTCTTTATTTAATGCTTATTGTTATTTTTGTTGGTCATTGTTTTTTACTTGGTTATTTTATGAATACTTGTATATCTTGTGTGGAAATATATGCTCGACCATTGTTGTGGTCGTTATGAATTTTCCACAAATTTCGTTTTTACCACGTGGAGATGTGTGCTCGACCCTAATATTTGTTCCACACATGTTGACATGTGTCGAGGAGCCGATGTAGGGATCCGTGGAACGAGTGTATGATCGTGGTCGGGATCCTACGCTCATGGCGTGAGCTGCCCATTACGAGCTGGGTGTTCTGCCAAGTTGGGTACTTTGACAGCAGAGCTTGATTGAGGTGTGTGATCAGTGGATCTGGAACTGACTGTTTAACGCTGGTTCGCGAAATGTCGCGGAAGCAAGAGTCACCACCGTCTTTTATTTTCTCCAAATGGAAAGGACAAAAGCACAGAAAAATTCCTTATAGAGATTGCTCTCAGTTCGGGAGGTAGATTATAGAAAGGGAAGGTGTTAGCACCCTTTCTATCCATGGTTATCCATGGGCTCTTAGATACTTGCTCACTTGTGTTTTCAAAAATGGTTTGTTTGCTTTTCAACTGTGGGTTTAAAAAGTTTCTTTGAAAATTTCAGTTTGACTCTTGTATCAGTCCTCAAGAGTGTTTGAAAAATTGCTTTCGAAAGCTTTTTGAAAATGTGTTGGTGTGAAAAGTATTTTGTTTTGTTTTAAAATTTAGAGCAAGTATCTAGAGTCGTCTACCTACCCTAAGGAATTCGTCTGTGTAAATGTCCTTTAAAGTAGTGCCATCCCACCATTGAGAGGTAGGTAGCACCACCGTTGGAGGTGTTCGGGTCAATTCGAGGTTCGGGACATGGTGATCACCGGAGCAATAGGAAGACACCTTAGAAGCTACCCTCATGCCAGGTTCCCGGATCATGAGGACTTACTAAGACATCCTCTACTCGACGATCACCTTTCGAGGCAAGGCAACAGTGAGGCGTACCCTAGG